CTCTATTTTAATTACTTGTCAAAAACACTAAGGAAAAATAAACAAGAAATCCTTGTTTATTGAACATGAATATGAATTGTCGTACATTTTGTTGCAAGATTATGCCACGTACTGAAACACTGGAAATCTGTTGTACTACTGGAAAAACAAATGTCTTCCCAGAACCTAAGAAACTTGCACACACAAGCCAACGTCTGTGCTCAGAGGAGGAGCCGGATCGCCACCAGCAGACCTGATGCTCAATCTATTTTCCAAACTCTGCACATTCACCACCTGTTGCCTCCCTTCAAAATTCTTCCCGGCAGCTCCTTGGAGAAATGGTTGACTCTAGGACAGGACAGAAAATTACAAGATGAGCCAGAAGCACCTGGTAAAGAAAATGTTTAAAAAAAAAAAAAGGCAGAGAAACATGATCATCAAAAGGGCATAAGAGACCTGACTGATGTGGCTCGAGATGGTCGGCTGTCAAGCTGGTTGGGTGTCGTTCTGGCCCTGGTCTGATTCCCAGTCGGGACTTGTGCCTGGGTTGCAGGTTCAATCCCTGGTAGAGAGAGGCACGTATGATGGGCAACCGATCAATGTTTCTATTTCCCCTTCCCTGCCCTTCTCTCTAAAAATAAATAAAATCTTTTAAAAAACAGAGGGAGGCACAAAAGCCAAAACTGGAACAACTTGACCAATAAAGTAAAAAAGCAAAAATAAATTCAGGGTAACACTGGATTATAACCCAAAGAATATCCACAGGAAAAAAAAATCAGTGGGTAAAATAATACAGTCTTAATAAAAAGTAAATAAATGGGGGAGCAGAAACGACTCTTCCTCACTGCAAATGTGGAAGGAGGGACATGAAGAATCACCATCAGAACAATGCTCTAGCTGCAGGCAAGACCCACTAACAAATGTTAAAATTAAGGGCGAAAACCTTAAAGAAACAATATTTGCATAGCTTCAAGCTGTCTAGAAAATACAGTGGCAGCTTTAATGTATCTATGAATTTGTGGACAACAAATTCACAGAATTCTCCTCACTCTTACTGACTAGCTTCTAATGAAAAGAATACGTGAAGGGGAAAACTTCTAACCTAGTGGACACCACCCTCGTGAGTGATCAAGGTTAAATTCAACCAGCGATGATATTACATACCCCCTGCTGTAGGAAGGGTAAGTCACCCGTGTGGTATTCTTCCCTCAAATCCGTAACACCAGACACACCCAAACTGAGATCTGAAGTGTCAGGGCCACAAAGACAAAGGAAAGACAGGAACTGTCCCAGACCAGAGATGAGAAACTAGGGAGACATGAGGACCAAGTGCAGTGTAGTATCCTGGACTGGACCTGGGAAAGAGGACATTAGTGGAATAAGTAAGAAACCCCAGTTAAGACCAATCATTTAATAGTATTTTACCAAGGTCAATTTCTTAGCCTTGGTAACAATAGTTGGGGAGACGTCGACATTAGGGGAGGGGTGAAGGCTGTGTAGGACGTCTCTGCATTTCAACTCCTGTATAAATCTAAAATTTATCTCAAAGACAAGTTTTCCCAAAAGATAGAAACTTCAAGACAGAAGTTAGAAAACAACAATTCACAAGTCTTTTCTTAGTTTTTAGCATCCCTTTCCCACTCCGAAATGAAAAATGAGCCCAGCCCAGGTATCTCAATGGGTTAGAGCATCTTCTCACTGTGTCAAAGTCGTGGGTTCATTTCCCAGCCAGGGCACATGCAGGAATCAATCACTGAGCGCATGGTAAGTGGCACAACGAAAATCAATCTCTCTCCCCAGGCAATTTTAACAAGTCAGCTGGGTTTATAATTAAGCAACAATCTGTTCTTTCTCATGAAGACAAAAAAAACCACTATGAAATTCTTAAAAACGTAATTTCCTGTCCTTCGGACTTCACACCGCACAGGTGGCCACACTCCAGGCAGCCGAGACCTCACGGTACACGAAGACCCTGTGTGCTTGAGGCACAGCCCAGGACAGGCGGGCATCACGTTTGTGCCTTCCAGGTCCCAAATTCTTCAGTGTCTTTGAATAGCTACCATATATCTAACTCCAGTTCCCTACTAGGCACACAACAGGGTTTAGAAATAGTTTAAACAACTATTTGAATGTCGGATTATCAATTCTCTTTTAAGCAAAAACATGAGAACACCTAAAATATGTGAAAGCGCTTTTAACATATGTAAAGGACCATACAGATATAAAATAATGCAAAATAATGCTGTTATACAACCACTTAAGTTAACAGCCACCAAGGATGACATCCCTACAAAATGTGTCCCACCCAGGGAGCCAGCTTTCTTTCTCTGAATCATCTAATAGTTACTCTTTATTAAATACCTGAAATATCACACACAGCTAAGTAATGAGATGGGCCAGAGGACAGAAGGGAAAGTCTATCACATAAAGACTGTATTTACTAGGGCCACGGCTGGCGAAACTATTTCACATTTACATTCTGTTTATCAAGTCCACTCCTCATGTATCAATTATTAGCAGCTCTTCACCATTATCACCCGGCTTATAATTTAGTTTTCCCAATCAAGGCCAGACAAGATGTCCAAGAACACGTAAAACAAAACAAAAAATATTTATTTAAACAGAAAGTTTATTTTTGAGATTTAAAACCATAAACCTAGTTAACTGCCACAGTGTGATCACCAACTACAAGTGAGATTACGGTTGCTGAGTCTAAATTTAACTCAAGGCTGAACGGGAGATATTGCACTAAAGGCTTCTGCCCACTGGATGTTAACCGCCTGGGGGTGGGGGTGAGGGAGTGGGGAGCAGAATGGAGGGGGTAGTTTTTTTTTTACCCCACCTACACTGAGAATTATCTCCCTTCATTAAGGTCAATTAAGTTTCGTCCAAAGCGGCCTTAAAGCACAATTAAATGAACATAGAATGCATATATAAGTTCTGAAATACGATTTTTTTAAATTATTTGTTGAAAGGTCAAGTGGGTAATTTTATTAAACTGGCAAAAAGAAACTTGATTTAGGTAAAAAGTTAAGTTTTATATTAAATTTCATCTTTTATTTAAACATTGCGCCTCCTGCGAACCACATACAATTCAAAAACCTATAAAAATTTAAAACGAACCTCTGCCCTTTATTCTCTATGCAAAGTAATAAAACAAGTTAAAGTAAAAAAATAAAATAATGTAAATTACAAAAAAAATCACTGCAAAGTAGGTCACCAACAAACATCACCAAATCTCCCGATTATTTCCTTAGCACATTGTCACCTGAGAACAGCAAAGTGAGTTAAATGAAGAACGAGGAACTGCCTACTCTTCTACCAGTTCAGAAGTACAAAAGCTCAGATTGAAAGGATTTAACAAAAGCAACATCTGACTTGTCTGAGAATCAGGGCAGCACCCAAGTCTTGCATTAGTATAATTTTTCTTTAATTCATTTGTTCCTGATAAATGAACACAGGACAGAACAGCTAGGCTACCAACTGGTGAAACAGCAGTTTCCATCTTCCCAACCAACTGATAACCACTTGCCTGAAGCCAAGAACTGTTCTTTTTTAAGAACTATTTGAAGGGGAAAGTAACAAAATTTTCTCTCCATTAATGCATTAAGATGATTTCATTGACATATTTTACCTCCAGCAGTGATAAAATTAGACTCAAATTTAAGTTTAATGTAGATCATTAGAGTATGTTAACATTTGGTAACTTAAAATGCTAATTCAATAGTTAACCAGTAAAGGCAAGTGGAATTGATACAGAAAGGCAAGTTCCAGGGAAGACAATGTTATCTTCTAAAGCAATCTGTTTTTATGGTAACACTGACATAGGTACAACTTGTCAATATAAAATTTCATTCATATATCTATTGCTACTTTCTGTTCAGAAACACCCGAAGTTTTGCATAAATGGAAACACAAATATTAAGCTTCCTCATAGTTTTTAAATTTACTTACAAGGATTAAACGTGTGTTCTGACTGCAAAAGTCAAGACCGATCCCAAAAAGTGTCTGTACAAAATAATTTTTTTAAAAAGGCTGAAAGCCATTCCAATCAAAATTAATTTGTAAGAATTAGTCTCAAAACTTTTATTGTAGTCTATCTCAAACAGAGATTCCTCCAATGTAAGTATGACTTAGCCCAGTAACACAGGGACATGTAACATTTCATTAAGCCAGGGAATATAATGGCTTTCAAAAAACTAAAATATAACTCTACTAGAAAAATATAAACTCAAGTCTTTGAAAGTGTCTTCTACGTTTACACAGGAGCCTCACGGTAAATGCTAAATGATGAACTGAAATGCAGACAGCCTGCCACCCACGGAAGATCCCAACTACCTGCACAAGGGTAAGATTTCCAACACACCTCACTCGCCCCTCTTCACCTAGCCTAAGCTCCACGGAGGTGAAATTTACACTGTAACTGAACACCATCCTTTCTTTCCATTCCAATTTCAAATTTTAACCTATACATGCTGGCGAGATCTGAAAGTCATCACTCTGAACCCCATTTTCTTCCAATACAGAACAAGGAAGTTAAACAATGTTCTCAAAGGTCTTTTTCAAAAATCTGCTCCGATTTTTTGAAAAAGAGAGAAATAATCCAGGGGCTAGTATCAGAGCTTAACTTCCTGCTGGCGGGAATTTCCCATCATCATACTTTGAGTTTCAAATCTGACAAGGAACGCTGTCCATGTTCACTTGCACTTCCTTCATTTTACTCTATGTTTTTCCAAAAAGCTTTTAGAGGGCAGCACATCCATCAGCTTTCTGTGCGAATACATGTAGAAAGGAAGCACAAATGCCTTCTTTTTCTTTGTCTTTAAGCCCAAATCCAAACCTGGTCTCCCTGGAAGCCCAAGTACAAATGCCGCTGCAAGGCTGCAGCAGTTGGACTTCAGGCTGATGCTGTCCCCAGGGACTACTGTTGCCCTGGGGCCACAGAGAGCGCTGGAACAAAGGAAAAAATTGTCTCGGTACCTAGGAGTCAGGCGACCTGGATTCAAATACCTGCCCCTTACCGTCTGCATGCCTTTGACCATGTCACTCCATCTCTGGGCCTCCGAGTCTGCTGTAAAATGAAGAAAATCATCGAACCTACCTCATCAGTCATTGTGGGAGTAAATGTAAGGCACACTAGTTGTTCAATCCAGTGCCGGGCATACAATGAGGGCTTAGAAAAAGTGTTAGTTATTAGCACTTACTACCATGCACTCACTCGTTGCTCCCCTGACTCCCTGCAAAACCAAAGACCAGCACTTCTGCTTCCCGGGTCGAGAAATACTCATCGCACTTTCGTGTCATTCCCACCCCTAAATAAAAGCCTCCTATAGCCCAGGCCAAGCTGGAGCACCTTGCCAGGGAACGAAAGACTTTGCTGGAGCGTGGGGAGGCAGGCGGGAAATGCTGGCTAGCCAGCCGCGCAGGGCCCCGGCCCCGGCCCCCCCCCACCCCCGCCCCGAGCTCGCCCTGGGGCCTTGGCGGCGGCCGCAGCTCACTCTCGCCCCGCGTGGCAGTTGGACGCGGAACGTGCACGCAGCGGCCACGCGCAGGCGGAGGAGGGGGGTGGCGGGGGGACGGAGAGCCTCTGCGCGCCTGTGCGCCCGCCTGCGGCCGTTAAGAGAGGCACGCCTAGCACGAGCGCTACCTCTTCTCCTTCTCACAACTGCTGCAGCTGGTACTCGACCCCAGGGCGCCCACACCTCAGCGTACCTGTGCGGCTGAGCGGGAAAGGAACAAGCTTTGCTCCACAGCTCGGAGGAAGGAAAAACACCCTCACGCAACTGCGCCCGCACACACGCGTGCTCCGTCGCCGGGTCTATATAACTGCGACTCAGCCTAACTTGTTGCGACCAGCTCTGGCAGGCTGATGACCAATCCCAACCGTGTCCTCTGGGCTCCTCGATCAGCAATTGGGTATTGGCTCAGGATGAAGGCGTGACTCTTGATTGGCTTTGACTCATGCCTATGAGACTATGAAGATCTCGTTTCCCTAGTAACGGATTGACACAGAGAGAGGCCAGTTACTTAAAACTATAGTGGGAAGGTAGGTGGGAAGTTCTTTGACCGAGACCAATATTAGCCAATAAATGCGTGGAGCCGCTCCCATTCGTTAAAACGGCTTCCCTGGGCGGAGATCCGTTTTCCAATGCAGGAGCGGTTGCTCCACAAGGTGGGGCCCGTGTACTTTGGGGAAGTAAACCCCAAGCAACTAGGAGGTGGGAGCCAGGGAGGCCAAGGAAGCCCTCAGCCAATCGCAACGCGGAAGGAGCTGATTGACACGGGGGTTGGGCTGCACCGAGGAGACCGAGCTCCTGGGTCCCCTTGCTTTTGGGGCGGTTCTGTGGCTCTTCAGTCTAGGGTTGTGTCCTTTCTCCTTTCTTTTCCTCACTTGTTGGCTCCGACTCCTGAGGCCTCTCTCCCTCCTTTTCCGCAGATTGGCACCGCAGTAACCAAGTGGTAAAATTTCCCATTGTTTGTTTCTCTTATACCAACTTATTTCCATGCCTAAGGGCACTTGCTGGCTCTCACCATTAGTCAGCAGTATCATTGGACAGCTATTGAAGGAAGCCACAGGAGAAGATAACTCATCGTACCTAAGATCTTGTAAAAAGTCAAATAATGAAAAGTGCTGTTGAGCGGGAGAACACAAATTGCCCTGCTGTTTTTGGCAAGTGCTGCTACAGGTCAGCCCGAAGGTCGGCTCATGGGTGTCCGCTGGGGTTCTTCCTTTTTGCTGTTGCCGAGGGACCGTAGTTTTTAAATTCTGATCTGCTTGGGCCTCGAACATCCTGTGAGTCACCACCATTGTCATTCAGTTTTCTAACCGCCGTGGGTGTGGGGATTTATTTCTCCGGGTCATTTCATCTTTAAAAGGTAACTTGTCCGACTCCCAGAGATTTCCTGAAACAGTTCAACGGCAAAGTGGCCCTCCAGTCACAGAGATCTGTTCCAACCACATCTCTAAGTGTATTACTGGGCCCTCTGTTGGTGACCAAAAGCATTTTCTAAGGAAATACAAAGACACACCTGCGGTCCCTTCTCATTCCAGGCTTGTGACCTTGCGGGAGAGGCTCCCTTTAAGTTTTTGCAGAGAAATTTAGAAATGAAGCGCGTGGAGCGTCTCTTTTGCAAAAGAAAGGGTTGCGGGCAGCCGCTTGGTGGCATGTCTCCGGGCTCGTCCCCGTTCGCCTCCTGGCCCAGGCCTGGCCCGGGGAGCGAAGTGAGAGGGCCCCTCTGCTCACTACTCCTCCCCCACCCGCCCATGCCTCCATGTCCGCCAGCGGCCTTGCTCTTCCATCATTCATTGTGAGTTCCTGGGGTTGGAATCAGGGATGATCAAGACCCTGTCCCTGCTCGCCGTCACTCATTCAACAGCCCGGAACGCGGCCCTTGGCCAGAAGCTCCCCAAACTCGGGAACAGGTGTTTGAGGCTATGAAGACACCAGAGGAGAGAAGCTGCTGAAGTTTTTCTGGAGCAAGGAACCACCAGTGCAGGATCGTGCTAGCCATGCTAAGGAAATTGAAACTTCTGCTGAGCAGTGGAGAGCTCCTGGAAGATTTCTATCTGCATTTACGAGATGATTCTCCAAATTGAACTGCTAATGAGAGCAAATTGGCAAAACTTTAAATCCACAGAGTGGTAATCTAATCCAAGAAGCCTGTGATGGGGTCAAGGCTATTCTTAATTTCATTTTGAGGGAATTTTAAGTGGTTATAGCTCTTTTTGTAAGGCTATTGGCAGTCCTATTAAATTGTGTATATCCCACTTCTTGGTTGAGAGCCTCTTTTTTTTTTTTTTTTTTTTTACAAAGAGGCATATGGACATTATTGTCAGCTTGTTAGACTGTTTAAACTGAAAAGGTAATTGCTCATCAGTTTGCAAACTATTAATAATTAACCTTTGCTATGCACATAATATAGAATACTATGCAGCACTTTATAAAAAATGAGATAAAATTATACAGATATAGCTAGGTTTCCAACTGTTAATTGGACTTTTAATTGAAAAAAATCAAGTTCAACAAAACATAGTGAAGTCTCACGTTAAAAACAAAACAAACAAAATATACCTCCTGATTTCTGTTTGTTAAAATTGGTATCTAAGATCATAGGAAGAGTTCTAAATTTAAAACAGCCCTGGCTGGTATGTGTCAATGGGTAGAGCACCAGCCTGTGAGCCAAAAGGTTGCAGGTTCCATTCCTAGTCAGGGTGCATGCCTGGGCTAGGTCACTGATTGGAGGCATACAAAAGGCAACTGATCAATGTTTCTCTCCCTCTCTTTCTCCCTCCCTTCCCCTCTCTCTAGGATTAAATAAAGAAAATCTTTTTAAAAATAAAATAAAACAATAGTTCTTTCCCCCCTAGGGAATCCCCTAGGTTGGAAGTCATGAAGATAATGTATAATTTGAAAGTTCTACAATAAGACTGTATATAGTGGGAAGGAAGGAAGGAAGGAAGGAAGGAAGGAAGGAAGGAAGGAAGGAAGGAAGGGGGAGGGAATCACCAGAAAGAGAATGTGGACAAGACCTCACATGGCTGTCACTGTCTTCCACAGGAGAGAGCAAGTTGACATGTTCTGTGGTAGTTCCCCTACTCAGATTATACTCCCTCAGAACCCAGATGCTGGATACTTAGTGATATGTTCAATGAAGAATTTAGCAACAGTGAATTGTCTGGAGCACTGCCTCTTAAAATGGGGGAGGCAGGGGAGATTTTGCCCCTGAGAGACATATGACCTTGTCGCAACTGGGTAGAGGTCGGGAATGCACAGGAGAGCCCCCCATGACAATTATCTGGCCAAAAAGTTGCTGGAGAAACCCTGGTCCAGTTGTCTGTCATCTCAGGGGCAGTCCCGCCCAGCCCCCTCCTGGTCTTTTCACTACTAAGCAAAGCTGGCAATTCCTCCAGTGCAGTACTCCACCCTCCTCTTCCTGCCATACCCCTCAAATTCAGGGAATCAGAGAGGGAAGACACGGGTATGGCCCCAGAAAATACAATTTAGTGGGCGAGTGGAAAGTTGGCAGGAAAGATTATGATCCTAAGGATATTATCTGGATCAGTTTCCCAAACAAAGCTAATCATTCATGAAGGGTGATAAAAATACAGGTATGTGCCTGTATACAACTTAAACTCTCACCTGTAAACAAAGACCTAGTATAATAATATTCACTGTAGCACTTTATAATAGAGACAGGAAACAGCCCAGCTGTCCAGCTATATGGGACTGGTTAGATGTAATACTACAACAGTGCACACTTACAGGGGACTGTCACATAACCATAGAGGCAGTGAGGCAGATCTATGTGTACAGTTATAGAGCAATCTCCAAAAAATAGCAATAAATGAAGAAAGCAAAGTGCAGAACTATGGAAAGAGTAAAAAGGGGGAGGGATACCTTGGGGCAGTTATTTCTATTAAGATACAGTGTATTATAGGGCAGACTTCCAATCAAGATGGCAGCATAGGCAGACACGGCTTGCCTCCTCACACAACCACATCAAAATTACAACTAAAATGTAAAACAGCCATCACTCAGACCCATCAAAAATCAAGTTGAATGGAAGTCTGACAACTACAGACTTAGAGAAACCACATCCACCCAGACTGGTAGGATCAGTGCAGACACAGAACAGGCTGGTCCCACACCCATGTGTGGTGGATAAAAATTCTGGAGAGATATTTTTGGAGTGAGGAGTCCCAGCCCCATACCAGGGCACCCAGCCCACGGTTCCAGTGCCAGGAACATAAGTGCCCCCAGCTTCTGCCTGCAAAAACCAGCAGGGATTGAGTCAGGGAAAGAAAATGCTGGAGCCCCAAGCAGCTCCTCTTAGAGAACCCACACACGGACTCACCTACTCAGACTCAGTCCCTCTGAGTTCCAACACCTGGGTGGCAGCTTGAAAGGCACCAGTGGCATCCAGGGAGAAACGGGAGTGTCTGGCATCAAGGACAGCAGAGACCACTGTCCCTTTCTGAACCCTCCTCCCACAGAGCAGGCAGGCTGGTACCATATCTGAGACTCCATCAACCTGGCTAACACTCTTTCCTCAGCCCTGGAGATCCCCTAAGACTCCACCCAAACCAACTTTGCTTTTCCATGTGAATGGCTGGTCTTGGCTTGTGCCTCACAACTTTCTAAATCCTATCACACAAGCAACAGCTGGCCTCAGGGAGCCTCAGGTACAGCACTAAGAGCAGCAGCCAGCCTACTTTCATAGCTTGGTTTCACCTGGGAATCTCCAAGCCCAACACAAGTAGCAGCCATCTCAGATTGCTTTATAGCTCATTCAGAGTGTGCAGGGCAAAACACAGGTTGGGGCTGCTCTTGGCCTGCACCACCCAGGAAACCCCAGAATTTAAGCACCCAGTGGGCAGTCACAGACCAGGTCAGGATACCACCACCCTGCCCCTGCACAGCTGATCCTCCTTGGAGGGAAGAGGGTTGTGGTCAGTGGTCACAGCTAGTCCTAGCAGCTAACTGGCCTGGGTAAATCCCTCTCATTGACCTGCCAAGAGCAATCAAGTTTCAACTACAGGAGGAGAGTGTATTCAACCCACAGGAAGGGTGCACCTTGAGTACCCAGCTTGGATGATAGGTGAGGCTGTGCTACTGGACCCTACAGGGCACCTACTACATTAGGCCACACTACCAAGACACAGAGTCAAAGCAACTCTATCAATACATAGAAGCACAGGGAGGCTGCCAAAAGGAGGAGACAAAGAAACAAGGCCCAAATGAAAGAATGGTTTGAAACTCCAGAAAAAAGAGCTAAATAAAATGAAGATTAGCAATCTATCAGATGAAGAGTTCAAAACACTGGTTATAAGG